ATTTTCTATTCTACTGGTTTGTGACTTCATTTCTAGAGGAATGATCCTTCCCAACAGTCTTGCTCAATTAACTGTGCCTTACCCATGAATTCTGAGAAGATCTCATTGTTCAACAGGAAGCTCTTTTTCACCTACCTGGATGCAATGGACATTTCTTAGGCATATTTTATTCAAATATATCAAATAAATAAAGAAATTGTGATAAATGTAATGCACTAATAAGTAATTAATTGCACATGCTTTCTCTAGCTCTTAAAATTGCAAGGATTGAAATGACCCAAATAAAAAGTAATTTTTCACTTCTGAATTTGAATAATTTGCTCCATAATATTAATATCTAAAACCTGTTTGAATCAAATGCTGTTTCATTCACTGTTGAAAAAATAGTTAATGTTGACTGTCAGAAGCTATGGAGTTTACATCTGTACATCATAAATTTCACTATCATCTGCTCCTTTTTCTACTTAAAAAGAAAAAAAAAAGTCCCCTGCTTAAAAAAGAAAGGAAAAAAAAGGGCCTTTGAAGGCATCAGACCCTTTTGTTTGATGTGTGGAACAAGATTAATAAAAACGTGCCACTACATTAGCTTTTAAATAGCTAGCATGAGACAGTGCTGCTGTCTATACTCACCACAACTTTAATTTATGTAGATAACATGTTTGAGACACATGATAGTTTTAGCTTTGAGTTAGGCCTGTTTCTTGGGGAAGATCTCAGATTTGTGACTGTGTTTATCTTTTGTGCAAGGACAATTAACTGGGTAATGCCAAAACACAATAGCATTTGATATTTTGAAGAATAAAAGGAAAATATTTCACATATCCAGCTGGTTTACAGATGTGTAAGCTTTGTAGTCCATTCTCTTGCTCCAGCATGGCATTGTGACCGTATGTCCAATACATCTAAAATTGATAAATATTGGAAGAGAAAATGCCTTTTCAAATGTTAAGGAATTTTTTAATTTATAATAATTTGTATAATTACAAATCATTATCAAATCTTGTCCTTGTAATCTTGGAATTGTAAGAATATCTACATAAATATTAAATTATTTTCATGTAGTTGACACACCTGCAGCATGTTTGAGTCCAGGCCTTCAGGTGTTACAAGTTGCTAAGACCTTTTTATTAGCAGAATTTGATATGTTTAAACTATAAGAGAAAATTATTAAAAATTATATTCTGCTGGCACCAAATACTTCAGATGGTGGAAAAGTGAATGGAGAACAAATCATCTCTTTAAGTGTAGGATGGAAGTTTTTCTGTCATGTCCTCTTTTATACAATAATCAAAGATGTTGATGTATTAGTTAAAGCTGCTGTATCTTAATGTTTATCTACCTACATTCTGTAATGTAAATTATAGAAGAAGAAATTAATTTGGGCATTACACACTAAATCTGCCACATTTTTGGAACTGAAAAAGCTATTGTAGAAAGCTGATTTGCAAAATGAGTTCAACTTTTCAAAAGCTCATGATATATTTCTTTTTAAATTTGAAGCCTAAACATTTGGGACAGTGTGGAAATTATCAAGGTTGTAAACAACTGGTTGAGAAAAGCAGTTCTCTCTTAGCAATAGAATGGAAATTTCTCCAGTTTCAAGAGATATTTGGAATTTGATAATTTCTCTACTTTTAACTCATAAGCCAGTGTAAATGGAAAAAAAATATGCACAGTTCTTGATTTTTAGGCAATACTGAGTACATGAAAATGAACCACTTCTCTCAAGCTGCTCCAAATGGAGGAAGGATTTTTAGTCTTAAGTTTCGGGCTTTTTTTAGAAGAGTCTAGGAGGCTATCCCAGGCCGATTGTGAAGAATGAACTGGGCTGTCTGGGCACTGAAAGAGACTCCTGATGATTTAAAGAGAGAGCTTTGACTTAAATATACAGATTTACCAAAAAAAGGGGTTCCAGACCACCCCCATTTTATCAGTCTTTGATAAGGTTAGGGAGGTTTGGCTGTTTTGTTCTCAGTGGTTCAGTTTTAACTTGTGTTCTTATGTTCATGGAAATTATTTTAAAGGGCTACTGTAAGTAATTATTTTCTTTATAAAAAGAACAGTTTTATGAAAATATCACCAGAATATGCAATTGCATGGTAGATTCTCTTTAGGTTTTGGTTATAGAGCTCTTGCCTTCTTTTCCCCATATGTGTTTGGAGAACTGCATGTGCACATGGAGGTGGAATGATTGGCAGCCTGGAAATGGGAGAGTTCCTGTGAGCAGGGGAATCCTAACTGCAGTAGAGCTCTGTAAAGTGTCCCAGCCTTGTGGGCTGGCAGCACCAGGAATCCCTGTAACCTCTGACTGCTCTTGCCCTTTAGCATTCTACATCACACCTGTGCCATTAGATTTTTGTTCCATTCCTTTTTCCCCATGTTGTTTCATTTCTACCATTTGCTGTGCTTTGCCTTCTTCCCCTCTTTGGTGCAATACCTGCATCCTTTCTGCCAAAGCAGCTCTTCTGTCAGCAGCTCAAATCTAGTTTTTTAATAGGGTGAGCTATGTAAATTCCAGGGGAGACAGGTTTCACATGGCTTTTTGGGTTCTTAAATAGAAAGCAATAAGTAAACTGTTCCATTTTAAATATGCAACTTTCTGGTAATTCACAACAAACATCGAGTGCTTTTGCCTCTTTCTTGGCAGCAGCTGAATGGAAACATGGGCTAAGGACTCAAACTGCTATTTGAAGATATTATTTCTAATATTCACAGTGAAAGTTGCATTTTGGAGAAGGATGAGGGTTCTCTGTGGCTCTTTTTTGTTATAAGAGAATGAATCCAATGGTTTTCCCATTTCAAATAATTTGAATCTTTGAGACATGTCTACTAAATGTGAATAACTAAAATCCAAAATTTCTAGTTTAGATGGCACATAACATACCTATTACAACTACTTTTTAGGAAATAGTATATTGAAAAAACTGAAGCTAACTTTATTCTGTCTGCAAGCACTATCTATACACACATATGTATTTAGCATAAATTTTCATACACTCATTTTATTAAACAGAAGATTGGCTTCTGTGCTCTGTTGTTTCAACTTTGAATATTATTTACATTGAAATTCTTAATGAATGAAGCTTTATTAAAGCATTTGTGGAATGTAACTGCTATAGTGTTAACTAATACTCTGAAAATAGAGGTTCTATCAGCATTCTTCATTTAATATTAAAATTGGTTAAATGTGCCTTAATGTCATCCATTGAAATAAATGAAAATATAAAAGAAAACAGAAGTGCCTTTTTAAAGTACTACTAGTAGGAAAAGAGAACTGAATGTATTAGGATTATGAACAATTATATATCTACAATTAAGGGTTAACAGAGCTGTGGCAAGCTCTGTGATTACCATAACTGTGGTCAACATTCATTTCTGCTTGCTGCTGCGGTGTTTTTTGGTCAGCATGTCTAACCACCATAACCACAGCAAAATCTTTTAATTGCTGAACAGATGTATTTCTTGGTTGTTTTCATCAGGACTGAACTGAGGGTTTAATGTTGATGAGAGCACCAGGAGTGCCACCTTCCCCCAGCCATGCCTTCAGTTACTTGGATCAAGAGTGTCTCCTGTTGACCGCATTGAGAATATATACACTAAATACTGCCAGGGAGACAGACCACTGCTGGAATATGCTGTGTTGTAACATTCTACTAGGTGTAATTAATTTTATTTTTTTCTGGATATTCCTTTCTTTTCATAGAGCCTAAACAACTTAAAGACCAACCATGATGCTTAGGAAAAGGTGATGAACTGAATGAACGGCTTAAAGAGGGGAAGTTAAAATAGTTCCATCTTCAAAACAAATTGCAGTCAGTAGCTATTTCAAACAGAGGGACAGAGGAGGTGAGGCTGTGGGCTAGAGCTAGAATCTTTTACTTTAGGTAGTGCATACAGATAGGGGCAAAACAAATGTTGGGGTAAATTTCAATGGTGGAGATGTGAATAGACTTTCAGACATATTTAGAGGAGTGACCTGGTACTATATATTTTTTTATCCTATTGAAAAGAAAAACTTCTGACCAAAATGCTGTTTGTATTTCATAGAACTGTGACCCACACCTGATCCAAACCACCAGTGTTTGGACTATATTTGAAGTTAAAACATAAGACATCATGTCAATTCTGGTACTAAAAAAGTGATTTGCTAATAGAAAAAGCCCATAATACTTGTTTATTGATCATGTATTGCTAGTTTTTAGTATTCTTTGAACCTGGTTTAATTAGAGTACCGTGTTACGTCTTACACAGCAGTTCAAATCAGTCACTTCCATTTCTATGTCTAGTGACTCTGAGAGACTTCTGTCATCACTAACAAGTTGTCCAGATACAGGGCTAAACATCAGATGGGGAATGGTTTCTTCTCAATTTTCTTCAATCTATAAGGAATAAAAATGTAAAAACCTACCTGATTTTTCTTGCATTTTGTACCAACTTAGTTTTACCACCTGCTTTACCTGTTGTTAATAAATGTATTTTACGTGACCCAAGTTTACCTCAGAGACATTTTTGCCAAACGTTTTAAATGTTGTAATGCATGGAGGGTAGATATTCTCTATTTAAGTGTCTCATGTCCTTAAACCAGGTCCTGCTGTAGTGAGTGTTTTGGAAGCAAGGGTGTGTTGTTTCTATAATGTCACTAAAAATATTTTCTATGCAAAAGCCGTGCCCTAGCTAATACTGATTCTCACTTACTAAAAGAGAAATTAAAAATAGAACACACTTTTATATTATTTTGCATAAGATGGAATGTGATTAGATTGTTGATCAACTGCAACATGCTACTCTCATCTTCATCTAAACAGCATGGAAAAGACTTTGGGCTAATGTAAATAAATCCATGTGGATTTATCTTATAAAGCTTCTAAGAGACAGTTGTATTAAAAGAACAAATAATAGCCTGACATGGCCTAAAATTATTTGCTATTTCTGTTCACACATTCATTGTAATTTCATTTTGTGCTGTGCATTACTTGAAACTTCTCTCTTCATTTTAATTACAGGAAAGAATAAACAATCCAGAAAAAGAGAATGAACTCTTGAACAAAAACTATGATAAGCTGCATAAGGTAAGTTAGGATTTCTGCATACAGAGAATTTGCTTCTGGTCCTTTTTAAATAGATCTTAATATACTGTGTGCTGTAATGTGTGTATATATATTTTGTACTTTTGCACACATGTAACTCTGCTCAGGCTGCTATTCATCATATGACTGAATATGGAAACTCTCAGGTGCTCTGCTGTATTTCATCAGCTCTGTTAAAAAACTTAACAGCTTAAAACTTTTTTTTTTTACTTAGGAGGTACAACAGTTGTATAATCACAAAATTTAGAGTTTTGTATGGAGAAGTTGGTCACTTGTCTCTCACTTTAGTTAACTGCTGGAGATTTCTCCAAAATTTGATCATGTCATAAATATTTCTGATGATGTTTTTGTTTATTCTCAATCATTTATTCAGAGAAATAATTCTTACTAATAAATCAACTTAACAATCTTGGCTTGAAATTTTCTGTTCTACTTACAAACATAATGGGATGATAAAAAGATATTTAACAAGAGAAATTGAAAATAAGCTTACATTATTGCAAATAATCTATACTATGGTGTTTCTTTCACTAAAATTATCTGTCTTTTCATATACTCTCATTTAAACCTTGATTCATCTTTCATCATTCCATGTTATTGCATAGATATCAATAAATTAGAAAGAGAAGGATTCTAAAGCCACCATTTAATGGTCGGTTTTTTTGGTTTCCTCTTTGAACAATGCAACTTTACTAGACCTTACCTGGACTAGCAGTAGATAGGCCAGTGTCCACAGGTGCCACTTAATTAATAATTCTCTTTCAACTTTTAAGTGGAGGCAAAGGTGCATAAACCCATTCTTTGCTAAAGTTATTTTTGGGACATTTATTTGATGTTGATGGGGATTTTGCCAAAGCCAAGACTGCAGAACTGGATTTGAAAAATTTGCAAAGACCAAGTATGAATTTGTCAGTTGACTCTTATTATTTAGTCAGTATTCAAGAAAACAACTCGTTTGTATAAAAGGTTTGGAGGAATTGTTTTCATATGACCTTGTAATGCAAATCTAGCAATGCTTAAACTCCCTCCAAAGGAAATGGTGCCAGATGTGGTTGACCATTATAGTTACACAGATGGCTTCAACTCCAGTGAAATACAGTAAATATGAAAGAAATTCCACATGAATTCAAGTAAATGTAATCTTAAAATTTGAAAGAAGAAAGCAACACACGTGGACTCAATTCAAACTGACATAAACATTAGCATTATATGGGTTCAGATACAACCTGTCTTCTAAAATGTTCTTCATTAAAACATCTAAATTCTTAACTACCATAATAATAATGCTTAATGATTTTTCTGCCAGCACAGTCTTCTAAAAACTGAACTAAGACCTGGCTGCATCCTTATGTGAAGTAATTGTACCTAAAGCTGATGAACTCACATATAACTGGGTGTTGTGGTCATTCAGACTTGAAAACATTTTCAGAAGTGTGGAAACTGACATTATTTCTTTTCTTTTGAAGAGAATTATGTTTTCCTTATGGAAGCAAATCAAACTCTAAGCAATTAGAGAACGCACTGTCTCTTCTGTACCTTTGCAATACTGTGGGGTGGTAGTGGATTCAGTGCATTATATTGCCTGTAGATTAGCTGCAAAATTATAGGAGAGTGATGCATGTATTACTGCAGGACTTAGAAGCTCTTCTTTAGTTCATGCATGCTATGAAAACAGTCACACTATGAAATGCTCTGTGCCTAGAGGACTGTGTACATAGGTTAGATATAGTATGAGAAAAAGACAAAACACAGGGATTTACAATGTTTTAATGAATAATACATATAGGAGTATAAACCCTCTATACTTTAGGGTTTGCAATTCATAATATTTTATGCTATAATATTTTATAATGTTATATAATTATATTTATATAATGCTATAATATTTTATTTCTTTAATCTTAAAGTCATTCTTCAAATATATGAGATATAAATGCACTCACAGGAACTCAGATCTATCAGCATGTAGAGTCTGTGCACCTATGTGGGCTGTCCTATGTGTTCTGCAGCATCTCTTCCTCCTGTCTTTGTGGTCAAGACTTGTTACATAGATCTCTTCTAGAGATAGGTGGATAAAAAAACTAGAGATCAGAAGATTTCTAATACATTGGTGTATGTAAAATATAAAGTTTTTTGGCTGGTGAGCTTCACCAAAGAGTTGAGGAACTGACTTTTTTTGTTTACAAAATCCTACAATTACTGTTTTTCATGGAGTACAAAAGTGAATAAACTAGTTTGTGCTTGGTGAAGATCAACATTTTTTTCAGTAAATAAGAATGCAAATATAGTAATATAAAGACTATACCACTGTGTCTAATTTATATGAAAACTCATTGCATAGCTTTGTCTTTTTGCCTACTGAGAATTACACTATAAATTATATCATTAACTTAATTTAGTTTTAATCTGAGTAACGCTTTTTGTTGTGGTTTCAACAGTTCTAGTTCTGTGTCCATGCAATCCTTATTGCACATAGATTGGTAGTTTACAAGTAAATAATGTGTTACAGGCAAAGAAGTTATTCTAATTTCTTGGCCCACCTCTGATTTTTTTCTTTAAAGTAGGAGAACGATTACTTTAAATGTGCTTCTTAATCAGTATCAGAATTGTTGTTTTACAGTATGAGAAAACTGTTGTCACTTTGTGGTCAACATTTTTCTTTGAACAGGCAACTGACTTTATGCTCTGCATGTTTCACAGATTTAAAAGAAATCAGGTGGATGATCCCAGTTCTCTACATTAAGAGGTTTTGTATGCGGAAAGAATGGTTTTGTTAGTTGTCAGTTGCTGAGGTTTGGACTTGTGGATTATTCTGGGATATGCATCTGAATTCCTTTTCTAGTCCCACAAATGTTGCATGCTGCCAACTTTTTGACTTTGGATCTCTAAATTAAGGCCAGTTCCTTTGCTCATCCCACAAACTCTTTCATGTTGTTTAACCGCAGCCTGAGAAAGGCGCCTTGGTTTCAACAGCAGCAGACCAGCATGTGTTTACTTAATTCCTAAGACATGATGACAGTGGTCTCTGTGCCACTAAAAGCTTTTTTCTTTATTATTTTCTGTTGAAGCTGATTTCTAAAAGTTTTTCACATGCCATATGTTTTATTACAGTGTCTTCTGTATGACCCATGAACAGCAATGGAAATCAAAGGAACAGCAAATGAAACTGCAAATTGCTAAACTAGAGATGGCTATCAAATCTGATTTAGCAGACAAAAATGCAATCCTTGACAAGATCAAAGTAGAAAGAGGTATTTTTCTGAAAAAAACCTAATATTTTCTCAAGATGTGAGGTCATACCTATGTTGAAGTTCAGGAATATTGCCCAGAAAAGTGTAGTTTCTATTGCTGGTGATTTCAAAGCTGCCTTTTAAGTGAACATTTTACAATATGCTAAGGTTATGACTAGCTATTAAGTACAAAAATTCACCAAATACAGATTATATGCTGAATGAGGCTCATATTTTTTCAGCTGCATTTATTCTTCTTCTGTTGGGTTAATACTTACTCTTTATTCAGTGTTCCTTCTCTCCTCTACATTGAAAGCTCTTACAGAAAAGAGGCCCATCTGACAGTTTCCCTCAAATTAAAAGGCACTATTCTATTTACTGTACAAAGTTACACAAAGTCTATACAGGTCTTTGGCAATGTTTAATTGTCTTTCAACTTCATTAATTCAGAAATTTTTAATATTTTCAGTATACACTGATTTACAATAGTACTTTTTTTTTTTAATCTACTGAAGAGATTATTTCATATGTGTCTTTCCCATGCTGTAGGGCAACTTCTCAGTGAATATTTAAGACTTTGCAATCTCTTTTTGTATCTCAACACTGTGTTATATATTGTGGCAATATATAAAGTTTACAAAAGGAGAACATAGACCAGAAGTAACCTAAATATTTTTAGATTTGATTATTCAAATGTGTATTTTTAAAAAAGTGTTTCTGTGAACAATTTAATGGAATTAACTTGTTGCAAATAATTCTTATGAGTATGGCTTCAGTTCATCATGTGCTTACTATTAAGATTCTGAGTAGCTTTATTGACATCTAATACTAAATTGAACATTTAAACAATTTTTTGACCACATCAAGTGTTAGCAAAATTTGCCTTAAGTGATGCTAATATAAATAAAGATACCTTAAGCTATATTAATATGAAGTTACAACATATTGGCAGTTGTTACTGATAGCTTGATTTTATAATGCTAAATTTAAAATAATATTTAGAGCATGAAAATATCAGGGGCTGTACTATTATTTGGTTAAGCTGAATTTGGAAAATTAGGCAACACTTTCCATGCTCTGTCCTTCTATGTTTAAGTGCAATCTTTTAAGTGCATGCCTAATGTTTAAGTGGCAATCTTTGCCTTCCCCAGATTGGCACTTCATAGCTTTTTGTACCCCTGACTGTGTCACCACACACCAACACTTTTAATTGTTATTAAGTTGCTGCAGCTTGCATAGATATTCTAATACCCTTCAAGCCCTGTGTATCTAGGATTTGATTACAGCTTTTTATCATTGCTACTGCAGAAGTAGTCACAGAATGATTCAGGTTGGAAGGGATAACAGGGGCATCATCTCACAGAATTGTAGAACACAGTGAGGAGTTGGAAGGCACCCACAAGGATCACCAAAGTCCAACTTCTGGCCCTGCACATTTTGCTCTTGTTTGGATGGAGTTTGTTTTGCCTTCCCTCTAAAAATTACCACTGTATGGCAGAGGGAAATAATGAATAAATGGAATGACTTTGGCATATAGCTAAATAGGTATTGTGAACAAGTGGTTTGGCCAATTAAAGGAATACTATCAAAGGTTTTGGCAAAAGCAGGGTTTAATATGAATTTGTGAAAACATGGCTTTACTGAGTTTGTTGGCAAGGCTCACTTACTACACAGATTTAAAGCATACGAAGGAAGATTGAATTAGAAACAATTTGGAAAGATTTGTATTAAATTCAGGAATGCAAAGTGGGTAAGTGTGCCAAGATATGGATGCAAAGATAAGGGTGCAAAAGAGTTTAGAGCACTTAATCACTGAGTATTTTAACATTTACCAAGCAATCTCATAGGGTTCACTAGAGTTATAACAATGACCTGGCTGTAGGTATGAGATGGTAACATTCATGCCATAATCCCTTCCCATACACAGATAAAGTGATGTGTGACCTATTTCCATGTGTGTACGGGTACCCATCAACCTAAGAGGTACCTACCATGGATTCAGTGAATAAATCACATCAAATCCCTTTGTGCTTCCCACCAGGCAGGGTTTAGACCTCAAAGACTCTGGAAATGTGTGGGTGGGGATCAGCCCAGGCTTTGCTGTCTGCCATGGTCCTTCCAGGGTGGCAGATGTGAGGGTGGGTGAGCCTGGGAGGTGCCCGTGCAGAGGGAGCTGCTGGCACTGAAGGTGCTGGCTGTGCTGCAGTTCTCCAGGAGAGCACAGCAGAGCCTCACATCTCTGGGGTTTTACATGATTGACTTCACTGAGTCATCACTGAGTTTCCATCCTGGACGCTACCCTGCAATTGTAAAGAATTGTACTCAAAGGGCACCAAGGGAGTAAGATTAACTCCGATTAACTTCTGTACTGAAGATATTTTACCTTAGAGAATGTTTGTATTATGTGACAAGGCTGATTCTTTTTTAAATTACATTAGTTTGCTTTTGAAACAGAAGATATTGTATAATTTATTTGTAAAATTGCTAACTGAATAAGATAGTAGTGGAGCAGGTTTTCTTGGGTTTCTTTTTTTTTTTTTAAACTGAGTCTTGTAGAGCTGAAAGAGCTGAAATATAAATGAATCTGGAAATCTAAGAGGCTGAATATATGTTGACAGGTAGCAAGTGATTATAATAGTTATGTTTTCACAAATATACATCGTTAGAGAATTTCTTTTTACTGTATCAATTATTTGTTACTGCAGTTGACAACTTCTCATTGTTTCCTGGGCTGCATAAGCAATGCCATTGTTTAAAGACTTTGCATATTGGCCATAACTCTTCAAGTTTTGAACTTTAGTAAGTTTTACTATTCAAGGGGTGTTATAAAGACTGTAAGTTTATCTTTTTATGTAGCATATGAGACAGGAGGTTAAACAAGAAAGGCTAGAAGATGATAAGGTGGAGATGGCTGAAGAAATTTAACAGGAGGCAGAAAAGCTCTCACATCTGTCAGAGGAGCAGTTAGCTGACCAAACATCAATTACTTCTGGAAATGAGAGAGAAATAACTGAAGGATTGGAACCAGAAGGTAGAATTCATCTTTATGAATAAGTAACTGTATTTTGTTAATAAATCTATGTCTCTTTCCATTTTCTTAAGCATTTCTTACTAGCAGTGGGAGCTGCCTTGTTATGAGAAGCTCCATGACAGAAATTATATTCTGGCGTACTTTATAGCTGAAGCTGGGTAGTGGATATGGTGGTGTTATTTTCTTCCCAAATGGAAACTGTATCATAATTGAATGCAAAAATCTGGTATCTGACCTAGATTCATAAAATATTAAGGGAAACCTGGCTTCTATTTTAAATGTCTTTATATTCTCCCTTAGAACTATGCTGTTCTAAAGACCATTTTAATGAATATGCTCCTTTTGTCTGCAGATAACAGCCAATGCTGCTATTGGAAATCCTTTCAGACAGAGAGAGAGGTAGTATGTCTTATCATATTCGTGACTTAAAGTTGTTAGAGGCAGATTTATTTAAAGATTATAAAAGGCAGGTCATCCTGTTCCACCTCTGAGCTTAAACTGTTTATCATTGAAGTAGACCAAGTCCACAATACCAAGTTTACAGTAAAAGCACAAACAGAATGCTAGAATTTCATGTTCATTTGTTTGCAGCTTCTGTGTAAGACTACATTAGAAAAATTGGGAAAAATATGATGTTGAATCCCTGGTGTGTTTATAAGTAATTTGCTTCAGAGGAGAAAAACCCAAAATGCTCTGAAATAATCCACCTGCATACAGAATTTTTTTTTTCTTTTAAAAAAGGATAAATATATCTTTATGTGTGCATGGTGTTAAACATAGTCAGAGGAAATCCACAAATTCAAGCCATAGTCCTGTATAAAGCTAACAGTTGTTCGTACCTCAATCCATCACGGGACTTCTATCATTCCAGTCCTCAACTTTCATCGGGGAAGCACTGCTTTTTTATTTTGACAAACCAGAAAAAAATGCATCTAAATACATTTAGATGACTATAAAGGTCATTGATTTGCAGGGTTAATCTTCTGCAAGGAAGAGAAGATTTGCCTGGCAGTTATTCTTCATTTGTTAGTAAAGCACCTATATTGTTGTCAGACTCCTCAGCAAAACTCTGATGGACTGCAGTAAAGGGGTTTAACCACATTGATTTTTCCAATGTTTTTCACATCAAGGTGATAGTCCTCTTGAAGCAATAAAATCTGACAGAAATGACTGTATTATTTCAAGTCCATTATCCAGTAATATTAAACAGCTGAGTCAGAATGTATATGGCAATTATTTGGCCAGACTAAAAAATATTTTAAACCTAATGCTGTCTAAGAGTAGCTTTGCTGTATCTACCATCAGTTTCCTGTAAAGTTATATATGTACAGTATCAAATCACTTCAGTGTACATCTTTTTCTATTATTATTTGTGGGCAAGTGCACTAATCATGTTCTCTTGATTTATGCTTAAAACCAGCAATTAATTACCACAAAGACATATATAAAAAATAAGACCACATTAATACAAATTTGGAAAATTTTCTTGGAACAGTGTTTCAGTAGAATAGTTCTGAAAAAAAAAATCATATTTTCTAATCTAAATTTGACTGAACAATGTTAAAAAATATAAAACTAGTAAGTAAAATTGATGACAGTGCTTCTAGCAGTTAATACTTCTCTGATCTGTCTCAGCCTTCTTTTAAAGGACCAGGGCTATACTGTTAGATCCTATCAGACTTCATGGTTTGTTATGTTCTGCAGTGTGATATCCTAGAGGTAGCTTGATTTTTTTTAAATGCTCTTTTCAAGGCTGTGAAACATCCTACAAAGCAACAAGAAGCAATTCTTTGTATGAGAAATGTAGCTGTTCTTTTGTAAAAGCTGTAGAAGAGGTTTTGAAATGCTATCACTCATGTATTCTTCAGAAAAATGCAGAGAGTACTTTTGAAGATGGAATTGCATTGTTTATATGTATAATTTTAGAAACAATTGACACCTGTAATTTTGAGAACTAAAATTAGTGCTACTCATCTCTATTAATTCCAAATATAATACACTTGTTTATAATTTTCTGGTCATGTATTTTATCACAGTCATTTAAGAGCTCTTCTGTGAGAACTTTGTGTAGATTTATTTCAGGTTCATCAATTTCTACCTTTCCCCATTGATCTGTTCTTGTGGTAACAAAAATGCATGTTCATGAAGGGTAGATGAAACAATAAAACCTCTGAACTATTAAGACAACAAGTATATTTGATACAGATTAGATTTTTAAAATATGCATTGGTTTATATGAATTCTTGGGTTAATTATGGAATACAGCATGTCAAAATTGTTACTGAATTTGTATTTTTTAAGATTAAAAATCACTGCCTTTTATCTTTTGAGATAAATATCCTGCTGGTAATCAAACAGTGTAAATAAAACTTGTGATTTTTGGAGATCGTTATGCTAATTATCCCCTAGATCTGAGTTATATGCCAAACTGTTTAAGCCATTTAAGATCACACTGAGGTTATTTTGCATGTTGCAAATTAGACAGTTCATGGTTATTTCTTAGATATGTTGATCACAAAGGGTATCTAACAGATTTTCCACTACTTAACTGTACCACTTGCTTCTTTCTCTTTTCTTCTTGTCTATGATGTATGATTAATCATAGATTACTTCATTTTGTTTCATTTCATTTACAACATTTATGAGCTTCACTTTGTCGGTATGAAATGCTTGTCCCCTTCTTTCCTTTCCAAAGTGGCATAATTAGTGTTAGCATCTTTTTTAACAGGCTACATAAAGTTTAGTGGCTGGATTAAATCAAGTCATTAACATAATGTGCTATACAATTTGCCCCTATCTCTTTTCGTTTCCAGTACATCAAAGTGCCACAGAGTGCCAGTGTAATTGGGCCTTGCTAGCTTGTCAGGTTCAGTCAGGCTGATGGCTGCTGCTTTTACTAAAAAGCTTCCAGGCATGATAATTAATAGAGAAAAGAAGTCTGAGAAATGTAAAAGTTTGGACAGTTCTCTATGAATATTTCATACATTTGAATAATCAGAAGTTAACATTATCAATTTGATGTATAATACATTGATTAAAAGCCTTGTTTCAGATCCTCAAAATAGACATCAAAACTGGGAATTTGCATTTTCTTTGGCATGGTCTTTATATTAAAAAAAAAAAATTAAAAAATCTTTTCTCTTCCATCCCCTCCTCCTTTACACTCCCACATCTACACCAAATCCATACAGGAAATTATATAGCATTCAGTTTTCACAATGAAATTTACTGCTGTCAACTTCCAAGTTGTCTTAAAATGTGCCATGAGGCAATTACTGGCAAACCCAATTTGTTTGGTAGTGGTTCTGGTTTTTGCTCTCTTTTTTTCTTGCAGATGCCACAAGTGCATTCTCTTGCTCTAACAGCAGTTTACTGATAGCAGCCATTATCTGTACCTGTAAATTAAGATATCAAGTTGTAACCAATTTTGACATGGAAATCTTTCTTAAACAGCAAAAAAGCCATACCAAGTGCTCATGGTTCTCCTGGTGAAGGGCACAAGCTTGTGCTAAGGCGAGAAGTTGTAAAGCTTCAAGGTTATGTATAGCAAATCAATAAAAACTATTCCTTTTACTATGGTTTTTTTTGGGTACAATTACTTGAATATTGAATTACTTGTATTTCCACCTATGTGCTAGCTGTATTCATTTAAAAAAGGAAATTATTTGGATATTGTATTGCAGTTTTAAATTTTGGCTGATACGATTCCTCTTTACACTTATTTTCTGCAGGACCTGAATGTCTTTAGTGTACTTCAGGGAGATTTTTGAGTGTTCAATTTTTTATTTCTCAACTTGGCTTGTTTTGTAGATTTAATCTGAATTTAGTGAATTTAGAGAATTAAATTTCAGGGTTTTAGTATTACCCTGTGTTACTGACCTGGCTCAATTCTACCATGCCAGAAATACTAATCCTTTGTGTTCTTCTACTCCTGTATAGAAGTAACCTCTGTTTCTTTGTGTTTTTCTTCTGTAAAAAATTGGGGAATTAAAAGTGCTGCACCGGCTTATTTAATAAAACAAGAAATAAAATCTGTGAAACGGAACCATCTTATCAGAGTATGATAGCAGCAACTTGTTAAACTTTGTAGTCAGTACTTTCAAAGACTGCTGATGGGTCTAAGATTAAAAAGAACCATTTGCCATTCTTCACCTTTGAGGTGGTTGTTTGCTGGGGGTCACTATAATCCAGAAACTAAAGTAAAAGTGAGTTTAAAGTATCCAGGAAATACCTAAGCTGTGTTTTGCAACTGATGGAGTGTGAGATGACAGAAGTTTGAGTAGACCCTGTGCTGAAATGATGGACTTACAACTTCTATCTACCACTTGTCAAATACACTTTGAAGTTGTAATTGAAAGCATTTACTGCAAGTCATTCTTTGAGATAGAAGAAATAAAAGAAGATGGAGAAATAATACCAAACACCAAACAGCAGCTTTTAAAATGATTGAAAACTACATAATCTTAAGTCACTGCCCATTATTTTTTTTAGGTAACATAAAACAAATTAGTCAGAATATGAAATTAAGTAGAAGGTTAGATTTAAGGCTGAATATCTTTTTTTTCCTCAAGGAATTTTCTGTCTTTCATGCCTTTTTAACTTAAGAATTATGCTTCCCTTTGAAATGAAAGGTAAGTTTATACAACATTTTAATTTCTTAATTATGTGACTGGTTGGTACCTGTGTACCTCACTGGCTTTGAGATTTGAACAAGTTGATGTTTGGTTTTTATTTTTTCTGATGGATCAATTGAAGATGAGTGATTAAACATTAAAAAAAGTGAAGTTTTCTCTTGGAGACAGTCTGCAGGAATAGGTGTACCTTCATTCAGGACAGTAACAATATTGCTTATGAAGTTTCCCCAGCTTCTTGGGGAGAAAATAAAATTCAGAATTATGCAAGTTTATATCTCACCAATGAAACAAGTTCAGATATATTTATATTTTTGTATTATCCATCCCTAGAAACAGTTTATCTTTAAAATTTGTTAGTTGTGGCTGTGCCATGGGCAAGGTGCAAAACTGAATCTTTAAAACCAATTCCACTTGAGGAGAAACCTTGATCAGTTTTATGTTTTTTCTTCAGAAAGGGTGTGAGGTGAGCTGAAGAGAAAGCAATGCAAGAAAGACTATGCAAGTGATCAAAAGTTCTGAGCAAAGTGCAAATATGACTTCATGATCAGAGATGTAGTTGTCATGGTTGTGGTGGGAAAGCACACTTCCCTCTAGAACCTTCTATTTTCAAAAATGTGTGGTGCTCTATACCTAATTAGAAATTGTCATTTTCGAAAGAAAAAGAGTGCATGGCTGGTACATTACAGATTTCATAGAGAGTCCGTACCTAATCATTGAATTGGCTCAAGCTGTACCAAGTACTTAATGCCCTTGAAGGTATTAAAGATTAATTTATGGTGGTCTGAAAATGATGAATTTGAACTCTCCACTAGGTAAAAAGGCCGCAACCAGAGTTCCCTTCATTGTCACAGATAGATCTTTATATTCAGTGTGTTCTTAGTTCCAGCAAGAGCTGAAGGGGTTGCATGGAGCCTTGTCTGGTGCTGATCTCAGGCATTACATTCTTCTCCTGGCACATGGCAGGACAGTGATGCTGGGAGAAGATTTTCTGTGCCTTTCCCCGCTTCAGTAGGGACCACAAGAGTTATTCAACAAGGAGAGAGAGATCTCTGCCCCAGGTCTTAGGGAGAGTGTGAAGTGTAGGCACTTCAATGAAATCCCATCAATGTGGAGAAGGAACAGGGAACAAGGAAACATTTCTGTATCCCTCTTCCTGTTCTCACATCTACACCAGTGTGGGGGAAAGGTAAAAACAGAACAGGTTATTGCTCACATGAAAAGTCACTACATACAGGACTAGAGTAATTTTTTAGCAATGCGTATTTTTATGTGGATATGATTCTGTGTTGCCCTGTTAATCATAATCACTTAATTATGTAATGTTTGTAGCTCTGTACACTGGAATTACTTGATGTTCCTGTAATAGCATTTTTTGTGGCTCTGTTCTGACATTGTTAATGAGATGATCACAGGAATTCAGTACTTGATAGAGGAAGAGGATTATTTCTCATTCAGTAATATATTTGTTAATCAATATTCATAGTGCTTGAAATACTGATAGCAAATGGATGATTACTTGTGATTGTTGGAGAATAGCTTACAGTTTATCTTATATGCTCTTTGCTTTAAATAGGAGTGAATAAGTGGACTCTGGAAATAAATATATAAAATGCCAAGAAGTAAAGCATGCAATTTTTTGAGCATTGGTAGATACAGGATTCAAGTTGATCTTACAGTTTAGAAGTTCCCTTTATTTTGAGTTTTTCAAGGCAATATATTTGTTAAAACTGTGGATGTAAAAAATAGGAGCATTGGTCCTTTCAACTCAGCTTTTCTGTGCAGAAAGCACAAACTTATTTTTTAAAGCACTTCTGTGGGATACTGTTGTTGAGTATTTGAGACAGTTGGAATCCTATTTTTCATATCAAAGTGTTAGCCTTTTATTGTAACCAAAAAGGAAATTAAAAAATGGAATATACAGCTGCTTGTGGATGGCAGTCAAGACTAATTACAGAATTAAATCAAAGGTTTTTAATCTTAGAAATCAGGAAGGTGAGAAAAGTTGAGATTTCGAATTTGGATGTAATGTCCAATGCATTTAGTACTTTCATTATCCCTAAAGATTTTGAAGGAGTTTGGTGATTCTTCCAAATCTTTGGGTAGCATTAATTACAAAGAGTCAGTATTAAATGGTAGAGGAAGCATTTTGACATAGACTAAGTATATTACCCATGTTTTGTTTTCCTCACCTGAAATGAAAGCACTGAACCAATTTCTTTGAGACATTTTTGAAAGTGTTTAATATTCTTCAATATCTGCCCATTCTCTGTGTTAGGTGAAATTTTGTATTATATTTTGTTTTAAATACTAAATGTAAAGACTGATTTTATTCCCATTAAATAGAATTATTTGTGGGCGGTAGTTGACAAACTATCCATTGTTCACTTGAACAGTTCCTAATAAATGAGAAAAGGCTTTAAAAAAAAGCAGCTTAGGAATAGATTAGGAATAGATTTAAATAACATATTTCACTCTGCATCATAGAAATATAAATGTTTGTTTAAAAATGAATTTATATAATATATTGGGTGTTATATATATATTCAGCATGGGTACATAATGTGAGTGGTTTTCTATTAATGATGAAATATGACATGTGAACTAATTCTGTTCTTAAGTTCTATATTTTTGTTTTGTAAATATCTTTTGTAATCAGCTTGTGTTCTGCTTTGTATATGTTGTATTCAAATCTAATATCAATAAAACTGGGACTCAAAATAGACTTGACTGTTAAGCTCCAAGATAATTTGTTATTTTTTCTTATAATTTTCTAATGGTATGGCTCAGTCATTTGCTTCAGTTTAAGTAAGAAATCAGAATACCCAAATTTACCCCATTAGCCTTGAAAAAGTGTAATATTCTTTGCCTAGTGTATGCAATTACAAGTGTTAAATATGTCAAACAAAATTTTAAGATATGTAAAAGGAACACTTTATAATAACGGATATTGTATTTGGACTTGATTCATAAGCTACTGTCTGTGTACAAACTAGTCTGACATAGCTGCTAAATACTTTGGGGTGAACAAAACCACTCAGCATATCCCTTTAAATACAGATGCTAATACATCTGTTCAGTGCAAGAAGAAAAGAGTTGTTTCTGAAGTAAAATTAGACAATAGAGCCAATTTCATTTTTTATGCATGTGAATGTAGAGTGCTTGAGGTTATTAGTTGAAACTGAGTAACCTTTCCAGGCTTTCATCTCTTTCTTTTCAAATTTGAATATGAAAAGCATATTCAAGTCAGAGACCATCACTTTAATGACATTTGGCAGTCATTTGATTTATTAGATTTTAGAAAAAAAAATTCCTTTTAAATATTTCATCATTCTATGCTAATCCCAGTAATATTGCCAGCTGAAGCCATGTACCTGTATTAGTGGAGACAGAATGGTGTGGAATTTTTTCTGTCATCCTAGTAAAATTTCCATGAATCTACTGAATAATAAAACAACCTTATTGAAATATTCAGATTTGGGTTTTTAGTTAAAGTGTCTTAGGATACATAATAAAAGGAAATGTCTTTTGAAAGGAGGGGGTAAAATTACTTCATCAAATATTGAAAGGACTTGACAGCAATGGAAATTGTTCTATATGATGGATATTTTTACAATAGGATACACCTGCTTTTCAGTTTGATTAATCATATAATTTGCTTGGGGAAATGTAAGCTATCTCCATAATGAATTAGAGTATTGACTTGCAGTTTGAACACTGAATCTAGAAAGCCAGTCTTCTGCATCTGATTAATACTTCAAGTGATTTAAGTTTAAAATCAAAAATTGTCAAAATATTTCCACATAGGGGAAATATTTTTAATAAAGATATGAACTTGAAAGAAATGAAAGAAGTAAAAAGAAATTTTTTTGACATTTCTGTACTCCAACATGTTGTGTTTGCTCTTTGAAGAATGTTTTCTTTGAATGCTCAGCTACATACTCCACTTTGGAAACCAGAGTGGCTTTTCTTTCTTTAAATTACATGGGGAAGTACTTGTGACTTTCTGTTGAGTCTGACATTCACACTTAAATACAGAAACCTTATTACAATTTATCTGTACACAATATCATTGACCTTGCTGAATAGTGTGAGACAATTTTACAAGGAAAAGAAAAAGGTCATTTTACTTAAAAGAGAATAAGAAAAGGTCTGATGAAGAATAGTTGAGTTTAATTTTATGATATTATTAATTTGAACTCTTAAAGGTATGTTTGATTTAACTAGTCAAGTTCAGTATATGAAGTTGAATTCCATCTAAATTCAATTGCACTTTATATGCCTAACAATGGCATGTAAACTTGGTGGATTTTTATTGAATGGGGTATAGTTGCAGTAGGCACTGGCAGTTCTCTTCCATTTGGAAAACTTTGGTACCTAATAGTACTGAAACTGTTTCCAGC